TGTGTGTGTGTGTGTGTTGATGAGCAGCCTCTGGGGTCCATTATGCCTGTGACAGCCCCACAGCAGGAAAGCAGCCAGCCAGATAACTTATGAAAGCGGTTTAAAGCAAAATTGAATCCACAACTTATGAATTATTAAACTTATTACACCTCTGTGAAGATCGCTAAACTCCGAAGCACAACAACAATGGCCTCCTTTCCACTGTCACTGCTGGGAAGAGAAATTATTTCTAAGCATTACCAGTGGGAAAGTGATGCATATTTCAGGTGTTAGATGGCATGAAAATGTGTCATGTATGGAAATTATTAAAGGGAAAACACTTTATATATTGAGGTTGTTTATGGAACTTGATATGGAAATGGGAACACTTCATACAGTGATGTTGTTGGATTGTTTTATGTAATTACATTTTCTTTGTCTGAGGAAGAACTTCTAAAGATTGATAAAGAAGGTTTTCGTGTTCAACAATGTGTCCCTGTGTCAGTCTCATTATATTTATTTATGCTTTACTTTCTATGTGCAGGTATTATCACAATTACCAAGTGAAACAAGTTGGCAGTGAACTCCTGCCACAAAACATAATTCAAGATCTGCAGAAAGAAAAAAAATCGGAGTTCTGTTTGATGAGTATTGGAAAGTATAGGAAACTGGATGTTAATGCTTAAGAATACACTAAGGAAGTAGATGTTAACATGAACATCAGATAATTTCTTAATGTTCGCTGCCTGAAAGGCCAACTAACAGGCTAATTTACTTTTATCACGTATTTCTATCAATAATGGTGAGAATGATCACCCAACCCTGTGGTGTCCCTTCAGCTCAGGAAACATTTTGGTGTCTTTCAGCACATTTTTTAGTTTTCTGGGCCCCAACTTTACTATTTTCATTTGAATGAATATTTGCGTTCCTCCATTTCTGCTGGAGGCATACTAGCAACTGTTTACCTCACACATTGGTTACGACAACATTATAAAGTGACAATATGTCCATGTTGTTTTAATGGCTTGTTCTACTGCCCACAAATGGACAAATCAATTCTAGTTACTTTAGGCTACAACTCAGGAGTTACTTGTAGATATTAGAAAGTGCTGTGTGTTGCAGTAACTTCAGTTCTGAAACAGCTAGCAGCTCATGAAAGTTTTTTCATTTATTGAACTGAACTAAAAATAACTGGAAATCTGAGGTTCCTTAGGGGAAAGAAAATTGTTTCATGTTGGGTGGTGCATTATGCAAAAGTCAGTCTGAAAGACAGAATGACAGCATCCAACAGCCAATACGTTTGTGGTGCATGGGAAGAAAGATGACTGGCTGGACATGATGGCATAATACTTTATGAATATAGAAGGTCTGACAGAAGAGTTGACAGAGATGTTCCAATCAAAGTTTCAGAGCACTAGAAAATAGAACAATAGCGCTTTCATCAAAGTCTCATCAATGAAGGATTTATCAATACATACAGTTTCAGCACTGTTCATCATGTTCAGGGGATGCATTCTATTCCAGTCTATCACATGTCAAACACACATATGGACTACTTATAACACATACTGTATAACATATTCACTCTCACATTCACCTGCATGTATTTGGATTCTCTGAATAAAAGCTGTGAGCTGACAGTTTTAACCACTGAGCCACTACACAAAACTGTTTTTTATTTTTAGTATAGTATAGAACAATAAAACCACCAGTTAAGGTTGATGAAAGTATCATGAAATATGTCCTACATGCAAGAGCTTGAGTCAATAGCTAAAAAAAACAAATCTTTATTTCAGTTTCTTTGCTACAGTGAAATTGAGACTTGAAGGCAGTCTTGCAGAACAGAGTGTGAATGTAATTTAAAGGAGAATTAAAAGCACAATGTAAGAGATAAAGCAGGACACACTCTGCAATTGCATTTTGGAAATCCTTTCTAACTGCTTAACTCTGTTGATGATAGTAAGCTGGTTTAAAATACTGCCTCAGGTGCTGAAATACCTATTTATTCTGAAAGTTTAGCAGAGACATTTCTGTTTGAGCTAGGGCGTAATTGTTCCTGATTATAATGCAACTTAATGACACTCCTGGAGTGTATGAAAGTAGTTGAGGACTGGCTTATGAATTGTTAAACCTCTCCCACCCCTCTGATGGAGCAGAGGTTGTAAAGTAGGACACTTCCTCTCCCCTCAGAGCCACAACAACAACAGCCTCAGCTCCACAGCTGCTGTCAAACTGAGTTAAAGAGTGTGGGTTAGCAAAATACTTAATATCCTATATATATCATAGATGAGACCCAATGAACTATAAAACTTTTAATAAACGGTCCAATTAATTTTTTTGTTTTTTTAATTAAGGAAAAAATATATAGATATATTACTATTTTCTATATATCTATTGATTTATTGAGTCCTCTGCATTCTGTCCTGTTTTTTTTCCTTAGGCCCTTCTTCTGTGCCTCTTCAAAATGTCCTGATTGATTGATTGATTGATTGATTGATTGATTGATTAATTGATTTGCTGGTTGATTGATTGGTTGGATGGTAATTTGGCATTGTAGTTTGAAAGTGATGACTACTTTCAGGACTCCAGCCTGTGCAATTTATTACTTTAAAAGTTTAGTTTTAAACAGACACCTGTGGAGATCCGAGCAGAACTGAATTTATAACTTATCAAATATTAAAATCCTCACACGTCTCAGCCAGAAATTCTCTTCCAGAGACGATAAAACAGGACATCTGTTCCCTCCTGTGACCTACAACAATGATGGCCTCTGTTTCATTGGCCAAGTAGGGAGGAGACTAACTTCATCAACACTTCACAGATGACCTTGTATTCACCAGTTCATCCAACTATTGAAAGATAATTATAGTTACTGTCTGGAAAATCATCCTTTCATGTAAGCATCTTACAAGGGTGTAGAAGTGGATGCTCTTGTGCTAGTGCTAAGTAAATTATATATGAGGGAGGTTTTTCAAGTATTTACATAGCATTTTGGTACAGTTCTTGGAAATTCTACACTTGTCAGGGAGGAAACGCCCCTGAAACAGCATGCAGCTCTTCAGGCAGGAAGACCCACTGTGCCTGCACCTGTTTCAGTGGGAAAGGAAGCATGGATGTTTAAGAAAAAGTATAATTTAAGTCTCATCTCTACATTGTCAGACTTGGGTCAGCTTTCACTGCTTCACTTTGTCAGCCTCACTTTTGCTCATGATACTTTGTTAACATAGAGCTAGACAAGTGGAAATTATGACTTGTAGTTGTATGAAACTTCAGGGGCTCCTCTGGGGGTTTCTAGATGTTTTTTTCGTGGCAACCCAACACCCCATGTGATAGTTCACTCTTGACCAAAATGTTGGACCAACTGAACCATGGACTTTCCTGCTTGTGTGGTTATTTGTGGAATAAAACTGTTGAGGGGCAATGTAGTAAATACAGAAATACATGGGAGCACTTAAGAGAACAACATTGTGTTTTTCATCTATTAAAGGCTGGCAGGATACTGTAATTTTAATCTAGTATCTTAAATAACTAACACCACAAAAAGCCAGTTTACCCTTGCGTTTGACTTAATTCAGCCTATGATAATTACAAATTACAAAAAGAAGTGAGTTGGTGAAGGATTATTATTATTATTATTTTAATGTAAATTTTGAGAATGGTGTTTTTCCTCAACTTAATCTGGACAATGCCTCAAACGTTTGTCTCATTCATTTGTTTGATATACAGCCAAACACAACACAGATAGCCCGGCCAAGGAGCTCAGATTGCAGTCACATAAACTGACAATTAATAACATCTATTATGTTCATCAGCACCAATGTGTGTGGGGGGACTGTGGAGGATCATTGCAGAGCGTGTAGAGGAGGAAGAAATGAGATGTGATTTATGGGTGGAGAGGGAGAAGAAATGCAGGGATGAGTGACTGGTGCCAGACACATGTAGGCAGCAGCAGTGTTAGGCGGAATAATTTCTGTTTGTTTGTTTTATTATGTTTTGGTATGAGAACCATGGCTGACATTCCTAAGGATGTGGGTTTATGGGTGGAGAAGGTTATGGTCCAACACTCTCTCTTCTGCGTTTCTAATCCCGAACACTGCCTCTTTGTAGGATACTATTTTTGTTGTGTCTCCATTGAACCATTACCACTTTAACACTACCAGGATTTTAATACTAGACTACTAGAATATTTAAATTCAAACTTAGGAAATAGAGGTATATTTGATACCTCTAAAGCTTTATTGTGTGTTTCTATTCTTTTCAGATGACGGGCCATATGGAAAAACAAAGGATATCTCTGGACCAGAACAGACCATGGCTTCGAGAAGACACAGTATACCAGGTACATCTATCTATCTATCTATCT